TCCAAGATATATCCTCCAAGTGGGACTGGGAAATGAGAAAATGTTTGCCATATTTTTTTTTTTTTAATGATGCTCCTCTTTTGTGGTTTGCAAGTATTTTACTATCAAAGTGAATACTAATGAGGGCTGTTTGTGTAGCTGACATACTGCCAAGCCCCTTTATAGGATGGGGAAGAAAGTGATACTCCTTCAAGTGTTAATTTAGGGAACTAATCCAAACCCAAAGCCCTCTTCTTTCCCCCCAGCTCTGTGAGTTTCTGGAAGATTGATGCAGCTCTGTTTCATGACTGGGACTTTCTTGTCTGTCTGGTTAGAGACTTCTGCAGAATTCTTGAGGACAGACTCAGTGAGTTTGCCAGCATGCCTTTGCAGACAGAGGCGGATGGCAAATACTCAGCATTGATAAACTGAGGCTCTGTCTATGAATGAACTCAACTGGCATCTAAAGGCCTGGAATTAGGAATTTAGTTACTCTGTGGTTTGAAAAATATAGTATTCCCCCTTTCCTAGCTTCTAGAATTTATAACCATGTAAAACTTTCAGCATTAATATTTGTTGCTCTATTTTTCAAGAATGTGAAGGAGGAAGAAATGTCTTCAGCTCAGTAAGAGTTGCCTATGGCCTGAACTTGGGGCTTAAATAATATTTCCACATTAGCTAGAGGTATGGGGGAGATTTTCCCATCAAAGGGAGGAGTTCTCATTAGCCACATGCCAGGAAGCTGCTTTTTTTTTTATTTTTTAACAGACTTTGTTTTTTAGATCAGTTTTAGGTTTACAGCAAAATTGCAAGGAAGGTACAGAGAGTTCTATACCCCCTCCCCCAACACTTTCATAACCTCCCTCCTTATCAAAGTCCCCACCAGAGGGGTACGTTCCTTACAATTGAGGAATGTACATTGACATATCATGATCACTCGAAATCCATAGTTTACATTGGGGTTCAATCTTGGTGGGGTACATGCTGTGGGTTTGGACAAATTTATTATGACACGTACCCACCACTACCAGGAAGCCTTTTAACTCAGGGTTAGTAGTCTGTTCTCCACATCATTCAAAACCATGAGTGGTTTGTGCATTCACATTGCTATATGGGTCACCCTGAAAAGGCCAAGTGGAATTCAAAATAAGGAAAAAGGAACAAAACTTTCCATAATGAAGTATAAGTATGTCCCAAATATTGCAATATTTGAGATTATTTATATTAAAATTTTGTTCACTATTTACCAAAATTCAAACTTAACTGCGTATTCTGTATTTTATCTGGCAAAAAATGTCATGCAGTCAAATTGTCTTTAAAAGGGGGAGGAGGGAGTGTTTCTTGAGAACTTGCAAAGTGCCCGGTGGTAAAAAGACTGTAAGTGCCGGCTCAAATCCTTATCATAACTGTAGCAATATAAAATTATATCCCTTATATAAATTAATGAGTCTGTAAACCAGTGTTAGTTGAACATTTACAACTCAAATGTTTTCCCATTAGCGTATGTTAAAATTTTAGTGATGTTTCATCCTCACTCCTGATTAATCTTCAGTTGGTTGTTAATCTTAACTTTTTATGTTCCCAGGTTCCTAAATTAATGATCTATTCAGGAATTTTTGACTAGAGCCCAAGGAGCCCATGGTGTGTGTTCTTTTGTGAAACAATGTCTTTTTTTTTATTTTTTGGAAATTGAAGACTCTTGTATTTTAATTAATCACCTCTAATATATCTGTTTTATAAGTTCAGATTTCCATACAAGCATGGTTTTTTGAAACTGAGCACACTTTTATTTATTTCCTCTTTAATAAGTTATGGAAAGAAATCACAAAGAGCATTTGGAAAATGAGTCGTTTTTAAAAATAAGTAGTTTGTTTCCTTCAATCAGAGTGATTTAATGATTTTTGTTTTGTTTTGTTTTTAAAGAAAATTTCCTAAATCCAGTCCAGTTAGAAAACAGTGCAAAGGAAAGGACAAATTAAGAATGTTGTCCCACTCTCCCAGGCCCCCTTGGGAAAGCGAGAGGCTCAGGATGAGGGTGAGAGTTAACTCTTTAAAGCTGCAGGAAGCCGGGGAGAGAAAGTCAGTTTGGAGATGGTTCTTCAGCAGTCAGGTAGGCAATGACTGTGCCATTCGGGGCAGCATGGCCTTTCCAGGTGATGTGGGTTGTCTGTGTTGGAGACTTTCATTCCATAATGATGCAGTTCTCAGCTGCATCATGAAGTCCTGGTGTCCCCTTGAAAAATTAAGAACTCTTACTTTCCACCTCTTAAAGTAACCTGATTCATTGAGCCTACAGTTATGGAGGCCTCCAGGGACCAGACCCTACTCTAAGCAGTTGGTATCCATCAGGGAACAAACCTAAGTTTCTGCCTCTTGGAGTTGACGTTGCATCAGAGAAGAAAGACGATAAATATCAAACCTAAGAAATAAATTAGATAGTTTGTTAGAAAGTAGTAAGGATTGTACCGGGAGTGGGAGAGAGCAGGCAGGGGACCTGGATTAGGGCTTGGGAGGGATTGTGTTCTAAACAGGGAGGTCAGAGTGCGACTTGTGGACTATGGCATTTGAGCAAAGACTTGAAGGAGGTATAGGAATGGCCACAGGGAACAGCCAGCACAAAGGCCCTGAGTCCCTGGCTGTTTGAGCTGCAGTTCTCTGTCCAGATGATTTTTCCCCCAGGGAACATTTGCAAAGACTGGAGACACTCTAGTTTGTCATGGCTTGGTTGGAGTGGGGTAAGGATGCTACTGTCCTCTTCTGGGTGCAGGCCAGGGATGCAACCAAACACCCTACAATGCATAAGATAACCTCCCATAACAAAGAATAATCCAGGTTGAGACAGTTTGAGGAACAGTAAGGAAGCCAGGGCAGCTGGATGGGAGAGAGTAGGAGGAAAAGGAGCTAGAGGTAAAGAAAGCTGGAGGAGTGGGGTAGCCAGGTCAAGCAGGGCTTTACAGGGCAGTGTGGACTTCTGCTTTTACTCTAAGAGGATCAGGGAGAGACTTTGGAGGGTTTTGAGTGGAGGGAAGTATGAGGTATGATCTGAGTTACCTTTTTTTTTTGTTTTTTGAGACATAATCTCACTCTGTCGCCCTGGGTAGAGTGCAGTGGCATCATCTGCAACCTCAAACTCCTGGGCTCCAGGGATCCTCCTGCCTCAGCCTCCCAAGCAGCTGGGCCTACAGGCATGCACCACCACGACTGGCTAATTTTTCTATTTTGTGTAGAGATGGGGTGTTGCTCTTGCTCAGAGCTGGTGAGCTCAAGAGATCCTCTTGCCTCAGCCTCCCAGAGTGCTAGGATTACAGGCATGAGCCACTGTGCCCGGCCTGATCTGAGTTACCATTTTAAGAATATATCTCTGGATGTTGGGTGGGGTAAGGGTGGAATGAGGAAGACTAGTTTAAGGGCTGTTGTGGTTATCAAGGCAAGAGATGGTGGGACTTCAGCCAGAACCAGCTTTGTGACTTCTGTGCAGCCAAACCAGCCAGTGCTAAATTTCAGATATCAAGCAATGAGGCATTCTTGGGATTCCAATCCCCAGTCTTTTCATTATTATATATCATATATTTAATATACTATACACACACATATATGTGGCTACATTGCCTTAGCTAGATTTTGTTCTACACATAGGATACCTGATATGATTTAACAATTAAATAGGTTAGGTTTATGACAAAACAATTCGACACAGGTTAGACACAATGTAATCTTTGTATGTTTTAACACAGTCTTGGCACTCTTTACTCTTGCTAACAACACTCTTTGCTCTTGCTAACAACTCTTCTGTGGTCTATTTCTCCAAGCTACTTATAACCCTAAATATACTTAATATATTACCTGAAAACGAGGTGAAGGGAGCATAAAAAGCCTGATACCTAATAAATAGGAGTTTAAATTGTTTTCCTCTTTTAGAAGTGTATTAAATTGTTCCAGTAGTAACTTTTCTCTTACTTGATTGGCCAAAGCAAATGCCAAAATATGGCAGAAAACACCAAGACATTAATCCTTTTACCAAAGGTCCCAGACATCTTAGTGCCCCTTCCTCATTCCTCCTCATGATCTCCCTGGAGGGCACATCTCTTGTCCTGCTTACAACAAGCAGGAGCTGTGTGACAGCCTGCAGCAGAGGCTGAACTTCACCCCTGGGGTCAGGGCTGCATCTATCCGCAAATGACATCTCATTTCTTTTATTGCTGTGATACATTTAAATGCCATTGGACAGTATCACTGGGCTTTTATTAAAGTCATGCTGTTCAAAGGAAGTGGTACATTAGTCTCTGTTAGTGAACTAAAAGCTGTTTTTCCATTCCTTAATGTCTTTTTACGGAAGTTTTAAAATATATTTGCATTCCTGAGCTCTTCCTTTGTTCTGGTCTTGTCCCCCTCAGCTGTGCAGAGCCAGGGGGATTTCAGGGAAGAGCACTCAGTATTCCAGATGAAAGTAGCAATGCTGGAAGTTCACCTTTTTTCACTCTATAAGACAGTGTTTCTCAAAGTTTGATCCATGGATCATAGACATCAGAATCCCTCAGGGGCTTGTTAAAAACGCAGATTCCTTGGCCCCTCTCCCAACCAAATAACTCAGGGTCTCCTAGGCTAGGCCGAGAAACCTGCATTTCAGTGAGCATCCAGGCCATTCTCCTGATGCTCACATTTGAGAACCACCACTCTATATTATGTGACCATGCAAGAAAAATGGCCTGCTCACAGAGACCTCTCTATCGACTTGTTAAAAATGGCAGATGGTATTAAAAGGAAACTATGCTTCCAAGGGTTTGTTTACTACAAGGAAGCGTGTAACCACCACATTAGTCTCCTCTTCTAACTAAGGCATCTTTCTTCTGTGCATTTCAGCCTCTGTTCTTGGAGGATTACAGTGGACACTTGGCTTAACTGGCTGATGGTTTTGCTGTGGGTCCAATGCTGGCTGACTTTAGGGGGCACTTTGATCTAGAAGACTGCTTGAAATGATCATTGTTGTCTCATGTGACATTTTCTGTTTTCTTGTTGAACAGCAAATATGCCAGAGGATTATCCTGATCAGTTTGATGATGTCATGGATTTCATTCAAGCCACCATTAAAAGACTGAAAAGGTCACCAGATAAACAAATGGCAGTGCTTCCTAGAAGAGAGCGGCATCGGCAGGCTGCAGCTGCCAACCCGGAGAATTCCAGAGGAAAAGGTCGGAGAGGCCAGAAGGGCAAAAATCGGGGTTGTGTCTTAACTGCAATACATTTAAATGTCACTGACTTGGGTTTGGGCTACGAAACCAAGGAGGAACTTATTTTTAGATACTGCAGCGGCTCTTGCGATGCAGCTGAGACAATGTATGATAAAATATTAAAAAACTTATCCAGAAATAGAAGGCTGGTGAGTGACAAAGTAGGGCAGGCATGTTGCAGACCCATTGCCTTCGATGACGACCTGTCATTTTTAGATGATAACCTGGTTTACCATATTCTAAGAAAGCATTCCGCTAAAAGATGTGGATGTATCTGACTCCGGCTCCAGAGACTGCTGTGTATTGCATTCCTGCTACAGTGCAAAGAAAGGGACCAAGGTTCCCAGGAAATGTTTGCCCAGAATGGAAGATGAGGACCAAGGAGGCAGAGGCTGAGGAGAAGGAGGAGGAGAAAGAGGAGGAGGAGGAAGGCAGCCATCGTGGGAGCCTGGTAGGGGGAGATCCAGCTACAGAAAACTGGACAGGAGAGAGATAAAACGGCCGTCTGCATTCTCCAGGACGGCAGCCGATGTCACCAGAAGCTCAGGGCTGATGTTCCTGGTTGGCTGTTGCCACCATTTCAGCTGATACAGTCCACCGTCACCGATCACGGGCGCAGTTGCGGATGCACTCGAAGAACCAAACCAGTGTATCTTCTGTGGTTTGTTTTCACATGTCTGAAGACACCAGGGAAACGGTAATCTTGGTGTCACTCCTTGTCATTACGTTTTACTGCTGAAAGTAAGAAAGGTTATATTTCTGTCACTCAGGGGAGACATACCCCGGAAAGGAGAGGAAAAGGAAAAAAAAAAAAAAAAAAGCAAAGACACAAGAGATAATAACCTTTGAATTCGAAAGCTGAGACCTGAGGTCTACTACAACCAGCGTTTTTGTGAATGGTTGGAGATTGATTTTGAACATGGTGTGTGGGGTGGGAAGAAATTGGCTAGGAACCAAAAAGGCTGTGCTCATGATTAAAAACAAACCTGAAGGTACTTCCTTTATGTCCTTGGAAACAGGAAACCAGTTGTGGTTTTCGGCAGCATTCTTGCAGGAGAGAAATAGAGAAGGCAGGGGGAGCCGCCTCAGGTCTGTCAGTTTACAGAGAGACAGATGTTACATACCCAGGTCCGTTGATGCGTGGTCACCAGTGACCAGAGAAGCTACTCGATGCAATGCATCTGTTTCAGATACAGAAATATAGAGAAGAATATTTATTGAGATTTAAGTTATTGTTATTTATTACCGTTCACTAATGAGTTTCTCTTTTTTCTCTTATTTATTAAAGTTTCTTTTCAAAGGTGCCAAAGTACATGTGCTCGCAAAATGCAAAGAAAGGTGACAAAAGGAAATTTGAATTGGGAACAAGGGTCCATGCTTTTCAAAGTATTAAAAAGTTTTTTTGCTAGGCAAAAATCACTTACTTTACCTTTTTAAGAAAATCCCTCATTAGTTTCCCTCGGATTTCAGCATTTTTCCCAATTAAAAAAAAAAAGAAATGTTAGAGGAACATCCTGGCAGGCCCCCTACCCTGGAGGGAGCAGAGTCCACTGGCACTTGGCTTGTTTCTTTGTTGCTCCATCACTGAACAAGAAGTGCCATATGCTCCACTTCCTGTTGTATTTAAGCTCTTAATCCCCTCCACATGTATCTATCTATAATATGCATAACCATATATATAAAAGGTTAAATTCCTCTTAGTAGGTAGTCCAGAATTTAATGTTGACCTAAAAAGTAAACAATTCTGCCAGGGAGCCAAGGTTTTGCCTGACCTGTGGAGACTCTTCCTCCATCCTTGCCCCCCACAGCCTTCCTAAGATAACTGCCGGCCACCCAGTGCAGCTGAGGGGCACACGGACAGCCGCCCAGGAGAGGGTTCAAGCCCTGTGGCTGTGGCCTGGGGCCGCAGCCACTGCTCCTGCCCACCCCATTGCTCCCTGGGAAGAAGGTGGCTGAGAAGGGTGCTGAGGAAGCCACGTGGGCCGGCGTGTCTACGCAGAGCCTGGCGCTCGGGGTGGGCCAAAGAGCTCCAAGGGGAGGAAGAAGAGGGAACGCGCTCTGGCTCTTGGGTTTGTCCGGGAGCCGCACATGCGCTATGCCCTATATTAGAGCTTGTTACACATTTCATAAAAGGGAGTTCCATCGAGGGGATGATCTATCACTACCTTAGTGGCGATTAGCCGCAAGAGTATGACAGATTTAGTAACTGAATGACCCAGTGGCCTTCTTCAAATAATCACGTTAGTGTTACAAAGTAACCAGGCAGCAGCAGACAGCCCCTCCCCCCGCCCCAGAAGACCCACGTTGTCCATCGTTCGGGCCCTCTCTGTCCTTTCTGCTCCCCTTGCACGACTGGGAAATAGAGGAAAGGGCTTCCCTCCCACCTCTCCCCGGGCCTTGCTGATAATCGGCCTGCTCCAAACAGGGACAACCCCAGCCGTTCGGGAAGCACAATTTGGAGGCAGCCCCAGGGTGCCCCGGCCAATTCAGAGAATCCTGGCGGAGGTGGTGGCCGGCTCCCAGTGTCAACCTCAGCTGGTCCGCGCTCCCCGTGGAGAGTCCCTGCCCAAAGGGACTGTAGGACCCAATGGGTGTTGACAGCTCGTTCCCGCCATCACCCACACACTGTAAAGCAGGTTTTAACGGAAGCGAATTGCTCCACCAAATCCACAAAAGGGTAAAGTTTGTGATTTTTCTTTATCATTGCGATTACCATCTGATAGAGTAAGGAGTGCACTTCTTTGGAAGTTCTGACTTCTCTGATCTGTCTCGGTCGTTTGTGTTATACAACCAAAGTTCTCTACAGACTTTATTTTTGTACAATATCATTTTGTAACTTTTTACAAATAAAAACTCATTTCTATCGCTCTCTGTACTCCTGTACTTCCTCATGGGCTGGGCCAGGCGGCCATTCATGAGCATTTATTGTGAGCCGCCCCCTTCACAACACACAGTCTACTGATTGGTCAATGGCCTTGCCCATCAACTCTCTGAAACCAATCACCACCCAGGTGGGGGAAAAAACTTGTAAAATTGTTCGTATTCATTCAATAAATCCTTAAAGTGTGCCTACACTGTACCAAGCACTGTTCAAGGCACTGGGGGATCTAACAGTAGCCAAAACAAAAATCTCTGCCTTTGTGGAATCGATATTTTATTTTTTTGGGGGGGAGACAGACAATATTTTAAAAAAGTAAAATATGTAGTGATCCAAGCAATGTAAAAGAATACAAATAGGATGCTACAATAGACAATAATATGGGAGCCTGCTTTAATTAAAGGTGACATCAAGACTGAACTTAAGAAATATTGCCAATATATCAGGAGCATCCCAGGCAAGGAAACAACTTGTACAAAACTCTGAGTTATGTCACAGACCGTCTTGTGGCTATTAAAAGGTGGCTTTGCCTAAAATGCACCCCTTTTTACAATGCACGCCATCCCTCCCAGAGGGACTGGGAAGGAATCACTGGTACGTACTCGAGGGCCCAGGCATTTAGAGTCCTCCTGCCAGGACGGCTGGAAGGGGCTCCAGGGCAGTGCTGAAGCCAACTGTGTTTTCCCTAAGCCAAAATTCCAGTGCGGAGTCAGTAACTTGGAAAGGGAACAGAAAGATGGGATAACTCTTGCTTACCTCCACTCCGTTTTTTCCAAGCTGTGTCCAGGATTACTAACGGGGGGAGATGCTCCTAAAAGAAAAAGGAAGACGGGGTGGTTCTCTGATCAAATTGCTTTTGAAAACATTGAGTCAAACAACATCAACCCAATTTTTAAAGTTGAAGAGATAACTGTAGACCTTATCAGAGCCTTTATTAGACCAATAAGTGTTTTAATAGTCCAGGAGGGGTGGAGTGTACAGAATTTCCCAGTATGGACTTGACAATGAAACCACTCATTGTTTGGCTTTCTTTCTCATAACCCCTGGTGACCACCCCTGAGAACTACTTTGGGCCATGTTGCCTGTTCCTGTAAACTTCAGGGTGAGTCAAAAGCTGGACTAGAGATTAATAAAAAGGCAGAAAGCGCTAGGCAGCTCCCCACAGGGAGGAACACCTCTCCCCAAACACACACACACACACATGCATACACCACACACACATTCTGGGTACTTGGACGTTGGTGTCTTGCTCAGCATGAATAACAAAATGACTAACCTGTGGTCAACTTTAGAAATGTCATTCAACTGAGAAAGGGAGAATGTGTCAAAAGCTGGGAAATCTTTAGCAGCATAAAAAAAACAACTTTCACCATGCTTCCCCTAAATCCTTCCTGGGCTCAAGTTGTTTGAGGCCACTAGTGCCTTGCCTGGCCTGTTGTCCTGAGGGCTTGCTCCCCTCGCAGCGAGGGAAGGCTGCTCTCTCCGGTTGTTGGGCTCTGAATTCCCTGCTGCTGAGAACAGAGGAAGAACACCAGATTAGAGACCTGGACACGAGGGTCCGAGGCTCCGATAGCCCCATGTGGCTTGTGCCCAGGAGACCATGTTGGGCTGCTTTAAGGCTGCTGTTGGGCTGCTGTTAAGGAGGTACTCTGCAGTGTGGTGTGTGCTAAGTGAACACTTTTAAAAGAATCAATCTGCTTCTAAGATAGAGGTGGAAAATCAGAATTTCCTGAGCCTAAGTCTCAAAAAGAGAAAGACCCCTCTTCACACACTGGATCCTTCTTGGGTTACAACTGATTTTCTCTCTGACACCAGGATCATGGGGAGCAGGGAGCCTGAGACCCCCCACTCACGACCCACCCTTGCTTCTCAGAGCACAATGGCAGGGAGGGGACGCAGGGCCTTTTTTCCATCAGGTAATGAAATGTCTGAGCACAAAGTGCCTTCTTGAAACACACTTTTGTTAACAGAGGTGCTACTGTAGTCCCATGCAATAGTTAACTCATCTTTAGTCTTGTTCACACAACATCCGAATGAAATTAAAACCAAATGCTGCCAAGTCATCCCTGAAAATAGACAGTTGGGGAAATAAAGGGATAGCACACATTTACTCCTACGTGACAACTAATATGCTGCCATGGTCCCAGGTCCATGGCAGCTGAGCATCATGAGGGTGGGAGTGCAGACCAGGGGGAAGGTGAGCTGCACAGGGATAGAGGTGTGGAGAGATGCTACAGTGCCTGGCAGGGAGCAGCAGTGAGAAGAAGAACTGGAAGGAAAATGAGTCAGAGACAGCTACAGATAGGGTTGCCCCATACAATACAGGGTGCCCAGTTAAATATGAATTGCAGACAGACATGCATAATTTCTTAGGACAAGCATGTCTCATGTAATATTTGGGACATGCAATGTGTAGGATATACTGATACTAAAATATTTTTTATTTATCTGAAATTCAAATTTAATTGGACATCCTATATTTTAATATAGGATTTCGGCTGATTTGGGCAAGAAAAATGATGTTTGGGCTAGACCTTGAGTATGAGTAGAAATCTGTCACGTGGACAGGGGCAAAAGTTGGAGCAAGGGTAGGCTGGGCTAGGGAACTCCCAGCAGAAGGAACAGTGTGACCCAGAATGATAGAAGGGCACTGTGCACTTAAGGAACCAGGGCAGGGTGGTGGGTTTGCAGTGTCTAGGGGCCACAATGCTTTGAGGGGCTCCAAAATGTTTTAATGTAAATATTTTAAAATCAGAAGAAAAAAATGAATATAACAATGATGAACATATAATAATGAATCCAGCCTGGATTATAATCATCTTTATTGCAATGCAGTCATATAATTTTTAATTTTTTTTAATGGAGAAGAGCCCACAAAGACAAAAGTGCCTAGAACTCATGCAAGTCACAATGCAGCCCTAGGCGGGCTGTCAACCACAAAT